AAGAATTCTTTCAAAAGTTGAAAAGTATAAGGAGTGCTGTAACAATAACCTTTTGCAATACTTTTAGATAATCCAAAACCTTATTACGTTACCAAAGCAAAGGCCTTTTTTCTCTCTTTGAGGAAGCACCGACCTTCACAAAACTAATAATAAAGGAGATTACGACCCTTGCACTAATAACTTTACCACCTAATTGTGCATATTGTCAAAACAATATGTTGCTTGTACTCTTCAAAATCCTTGTCGCGCTCGTGTTGACATGACACCTGTAGGGGTGTAATTGTGAATCCACACAAGATTCGGTGAACTTATCCTGGGTGCTTTACCTACATCTACGACCGAGAAGTACAAATTGATTGTCATCTATGACCGTGAAGAATGTTTGCTACAATATGAGATAACTTATAATAAAATGTATCTCTTCCTTCACAAGTTAGAGGTAAAGTTGTGTAACTGTAACCACCATCCTCCCCGTACCCTACTTGTGGGATCACACTGGTTGTTATAGTATCTTATGACATAAGGAATTAAAATTTATTAGTATTAGTTCAACAACTTTTATCAATCAAGATATATACTTTACATACTTTTTTTTTATATACTTTACTTGAGTCGAGGATCAATTGGGAACAACTTCTCTAACTTCACAAGGTAGGAAGAAGGTTGTGTACACTCCACCCTCCTTAGACTCCACTTATGGATTACACTAGGTATGGTGTTGTTGAAGTTGTATGCTAGCACCCTTATCCGCACTCGAATTCATACCTTAAATCCTAAAATTTATGTGATGATGAATCATGAATCCAACCTTTAGATTTGTACCTATATCGGATACCCACACTCGAGGTCAACCTATGAGGCTTGTAATCATCGTTGTTTTATTTTCTAGAATGGTGAAGTTTTCATATATAAAGTTGACTACACAAGTTGTGTGGTCAAACCAAAAGTTTTAGAGCTACAGGGGCCCTCCTCACTATCCAATTGTAATGTAATCTAAAACATCATCAATATATTTTGCCTCTTCTATATCTATACTTGTTTACATCAAAGTAATAAAGGACTAGACAATTCATCCAGAACATATTCTCCAAATGCATGATGGGACAATAATCCATCTCTTTTTGATGGGGCAATTTACCGTACTAAAACACCCGGTGTACATTCTAGCATTAGCTATCCAATTTCCCTATTTTTGATGGATATTTTCCACAATTTATCTACCCATATGCAGTATAGAGAGAGACGGTAGATTGTCTCTGCTTGCTCCCCAATTAAACAACATATGGAACATAGCTGATAACCCCTTTAATCGGTGGAATAGTCGAGGTGTATCGAGTTGGTAAATAGTTGTTTTACTTGTTTACTGGCATAAAAGACCGTCCTTATACAGGTCAAATTAACTGGAAGCGGTTTGCAAACAAGGAAACCTGTCTGGTCCAAATGAATTTGCACCTCCTGAAAACTTCAAAAAATTCATTGTAATTATCAAATGAGCTTTCTTTGTCTTATAAACATTTCCAATCCAGTACAACAATAAAGATAGTCAAAGATAACGAAAATCCCAATAAATAACTTCTAAAAGAATTAACGAGGTGCACATTATCCAACTTATTCTTGATATGTGTTATTTATAATTTGTCTGTTGACTTTAAACTAATCCAAAGCTCTGTTACCTTATAGAGTGTAGGTATAAATTATTGAGAAACACATTTCATCTGCTTCCTACTAAAGCAGTTACTTTTTCTTTAATTGATGATTCCAAGCTTTTTCAGAAATTCTTCCCAATTTCTTCTTACTAATATTGATACTTGGATTTGAAATTCACAATCATTGTTTTGTTTTAAGTGGATTTCCATCTATCCCCATTGATCAAAAAATGGTAAGTTGTCCAAACGTTTTCATCTAGTGATATCATTGATGGATCTAACTTTGTGGTTCTGTTTTTTTAACAAAATATAGCCTATAAGGTTGTTGGTTTAAGTTTTTGATAGCGTTGATTTGTGGAAGCTAGCTTTAGTTCCTCCCCACATTTCTATGATCTAGATATCCGGTTCTATGGTATAATTTCCTACAACTTTCTAAATCAGACTCTCTTTACCATGAAAAGGCTAGAATTTAACCTAGAGATGCATTCCATTGCAAAGAAAGGATATTTAAAGCCAGGATTCCAAAACAATCAAAGAAAAAGAAACTGTTCGCACAAATGAATTGCACTGAGAAATACTCAATGAGCTGAATTTCACTAAAGAACTATCACCCACCAAATCAAAAGCTAAATCAAATAGAATAACTATATATACAATCAATCCTCTTTTATCTTCCAGGTAAAGGTTTCCAAGCCAAAAAGCCAAAACTCAAATGAATTGCACAGTAATTACTGAATCACTTTGAAAAGGGATTACAAACAACGAAACCTGACTGGTCCAAATGAATTCGCACCTCCTATAAAACTCCTAAAAATTCATTCTAACCATCGAATGAGCATTCTTTTCTTTATCTGTATTTTCAACCTTCCCAGTCCAGTACAACAAATTAACAGAGTGACTTCTATTACAACTCAAACTTCCAAAACAAAAAAATACTCTAATTAATCAAATATATTTATCAATATCAACGAAAAACGAAAATTGATATCTGATGATGATCAATAGACTCGGATATAGTCTAGAAATAATTACTTCTACAGTTCAAACTTCCAAAACAAACAGATATTACAAACAAATAATCACTCTAAAATCATTAAATTACTTAATTTTAAAAAAAAGAAGAAGAAGGAAACCTGTTTGTCCATATCAGGAAACACCGATATGAGATGATCGATCGCCGACGGAGTCGTAAAGGATCGCGACGGAGAAAACGAAGACGGAGAACAACGGATCCTCTTCGAAACCGGCGGAGACGGCGATGACTGCAAATCTTCAAAAAAATTGGATCTCTTACCGCACACCACAGCAGACATGTTGCGCCAAAAAAAAAATCAAATTCCTCTCAACAGCAGCAACAACAACAACAATTCTTCTCCCACCGCCTCGCTCATACAGATTCCAAAAACAACAAAAAAAATCAAAAAAAAAAATTTAACAAAAATCGAGATTAAAAAACTCTCAAATTCCTCAGAATAACAAAAAAAAAAATTCAAAAACTTAGATTTTTCTCAAATTCCTCCCAACAACAACAAAAAAAAATATAAAAAATATTCAAAATCTCAGATTTCTCTACGATTGTTCCAATGTAAATAAAAAAAAAATTATCTGTATAAATACATTATTAAAAAAAATTAGGTTTTTTTTCTTTATCGCCTCTTCTTTTTTATGAGATAAAAGATAGGTTTTGTAATAACTTTTGAAAGCAAAAAAATAATCTGAAATAGCGACGGAAGATAAAGTAACAGGAAGTTACAGTATATTATGGTGAAGGACAAGTAATAACATGAAACGTGTTATATAATAATGACGTGGAGACATATGATTTGTCGTTAGCTGTATCGTTTGTGTTTTGTAATTAGCTTTACCGGTGGCTTCCTTGTTTGGTAAAGTTAGTGAGTATGGTTGAGGCATATATAATTGAGAAAAAAAATTGTATAATACATGAATATAAACTTTAACTTGCTCTTAATTGATAATTATAATTTTTAATTTTTGGTATATATATCAAGTTTTCATTTTCCTATTACAGGCAGCCGGCAAAATCATGTTTGAATTCCTTATAAGATTTTAGAAAAAACTTTCAACAGACACTCTACTCAGGGAAACAGAGCTCAAGACTCAAAGCCCTACGGGAAAACCAGAACTCTCTTGTGAGAGAAATGACATTAAAACATTGAGGTAATGGAAGTGAAGGCAACTCAACAGGAAAAATAATAAGAGGAGCACACGGATAAAATTGAAGGAACAGGAGAAAAGAATACGAATGAGTTTATTTTAGCCAATTGTTAGTTATATTTGAAATGTAGTGTCTGTTCTGTAAGCTCTCTTATAGGATCTCCCTTTGTTATTTTTTATAAAAAAATATATAAAAATAAGTTATTTCTATGAGTAATGTTCAATAGTATTTAAATTTATATAAAATTGAGCAAATGAGCATATTCGTTCTACATGACAATTTGTATTCTACATGACAGCCTACGTGTGTTATGTCATATAGGACACTTGTATCTACTTGTTCAATTTTATAATAGTTTAATTGTCTATTTGTACACATTTAAAGTTGGAAGGCATAGTTATTTGTTAATATCAAGTTTATGTATTATGCTAAAAACAAAATAGTATCAAGTGTTCTTTTTTTTTTTTTAATTTAGGGAGTTTAGAGTTTATTTGGTTATAGAAAGAATATTTGAAATAATGTTTATGATTCAATACATTTAAATATGATTTCAGAAATAAAAGTAAATTAGATAGCACACTATTATATGGAATAAAATTTCAACTCAACTGTTAGACGAATTAATATATGATAACTGGTAAATGTTTGATTGTATTCGATTTGTCTTATTTGTAGAAGACCTAAAATAGAATCAGGGTCATGTCAATAATCAAATAGGATAAGCTTATAGTATAACTGTTTAGTAAAAATCCATGATTCTATGTTTTAGTTCACACTCTTGATGTAATAGAAAAATACAAATTACTATAAGTGTCAATTTCACGCAAAATAAATTATCTAGAGTTTAGTTTTAATCCATATTTAACCCCTTGTTGTATCTCATTTCAATATTCTCCACTCATTACTCTCAAGCTCTATAAAGGAATATATAGTTTCGAGCTCATAAGTTAATTATATATTCTATTATGTATTAAAATGCGTATAATTAATACACAAAAATTTATGATATTAGTAATATAAAAACTTTTGTATATGTATATTTACATTATTTATACATTCTATAAGATGTGTATTACTAATACATAAAAATTCATAATATCAGTAATGCGAGAACTTTTAATTTATGCATTAGCATGATTAAAGACGCATTACACAAATTTTCAATGAAAACACTGCTCAATTACTCAAAAAAATTATAAAATTTATTAAGTGTTACGGTGTGTATTACTAGCATATGAGAATATTAGTAATGCAAGAATTTTTACACTTTGTTTGGATCATCGCTACTCATTATTTCATAATGTACTGTGTTATATTGTGCTGCTCTATTATACTGTATCGTACGATAGATACAATGTTTGACTAGATTGTATTGTTTGTTGTTGTTTAGTAACATTTTAATTGTTCTGTTTGATTGTATCGTACTGTATTTTAATTTATAATTTACTTAAACATTTTTAATTATTGTAGGATATGAGGTTTGACTAGATTTAAATAATTAAGGTAAAATGTAAAGTAGTATTTTGAAATATTATGTAAAAAGAAAATTGGAAAATGAAATTAAGTAACAATGGAACATACCAACAAATTCATAAAATAGAGATTTTCATTGTTACGTAACAACGAAATTCAACAATATAATACAATACATTTAAGTAACAATTAAAACAAACATTATAAATATAATAACGATACAATACAATATGATATATGATAATAATCCAAATATAGTAATAATGTATCCGTCAATCAATTTTGTTACTAGTTTACCGAAGGGAAATTACTGCTTATGTACTTAAACCTTCACTTCAAATTAAGCTTAGCGGAAGATGATTAATAATCCCATCGCCAAAAGTCGTCAGATAATGGCGTTGAAACAACTTTTATTTCTACACAATCCATACATTCCATCGCCGGCGTCGTATTCCTGTCGCCGGAAAAATGCCTCGGCAGCTACTTCTTCGACTGTACTTCAACACCCGATGTTATTGTCGATGAACATTGACAAATTCAAACCACTGGATTTCCCTAAGAACTCCACCAGGAAGTTGAATCGTTCTGTTACTACTATCAGATCCCAATTGAATTTTCCCATCATTTCTCCGCAAGATCAATGGGGAACTTGGACTGTTCTTTTCGCTACCGGCGCTTTTGGCATTTGGTAATCAACTCACTCATCCATGTGTGTTTATTAGTCCTCTCATCCATGTATGTTTATTAGCCCTGTCCAATTTGTGTTACACTTTCTATTTTTCGAGATTCGAACTAGGTGAACTTTAACCTAACATAAGTGTATTTGTTCATCATTTTGCAACTTATATACCAACTCCTTAGTTTATGAAGTAAAATGAGGTTTTTTAATTTTGTGATGTTAAATTAAAGACTGTATAGTACTTTAAATATAGGGTCCTAAACTTGCAATATTGAAATTGGAAAACATGGCAAATCGAAAAATGCACTCTTTTTGGAACAGATCAAAATGGAATGTAAGACACTCGGAGTGGGAGTAATATTTATGCTACAGTTTTTTGAGAGGCACAAGAAGAGCTAACAAAGAGTATTTATATTTGACTGCTCACTGCCCCAAAGAAATGGGGGATTGAATCGAAACGGCCCCTTAATATAGATACTGTGTTGCCTATGTTTTTTTTCCTGAAATAAGGACGTTTTAGTTTGACTTATAAGTGCAAGTTCTAGTCAATGACCTGAAAGAAGTCACTAGCTTCTTGCTATCGAGCATGGCTTAGCCTTAGTTTACGATGAAGTTTTGTTGTACTTAGGATTTTAATTTTAAAATATTGAGATGATCTAATACAACTTAGGTTCAACGATAACAAAAAGTGCCACGGAAGTTGGGACAGAGAGAGTACTTTTTTACAATCATGGACGAAAGACTTGAAGTTTCAGATTTTATAGTTATACGCAGCTTGTTGTTTGGTCTTATGAAAATTGAAGGTCGGAGAAGACCAAGATCGGGGCTGCACTAAGTGGTTCACTAGTAAGTGTACTGGTTGGTCTAGCAGCAAGTAACTTGGGCATTATAGCTAGTGAAGCTCCAGCATATAAAATCGTGACAGGATTCTTGCTTCCACTTGCTGTTCCCTTGCTGTTGTTTAGAGCTGATATGCGTCGAGTATTAAAGTCCACTGGAACACTGCTCATGGCCTTTTTGCTTGGATCAGGTAATGGCCTGCTTCATATTTTCAGAACAACTTATGGCATATCTGCTGGAATGATCAGTTCAAATTTTATCCTTGGAATTGCTGAAACTATTATTAGATCATTGATTTTAAAGTCTTACGTGCTCTACAGTAGGTTTAAGTTGGTCAACATTTGGCTCCAGATTTATGTTACTATTATTCTTTCAGCTGGTCATGTACATAATGGCCTTAGCTCACAGTGGTTTTCAGCTAAAGTTCACAGACTGGTTTATTCTTTACTTCAATAGCTAAATGAGGATAGGAAACAAGAGCAAGGCTTATATGTAGGGTGGAATCTATAAAGGATACATATATCAAATCCAGAAAACTTCTTTCCCTTATATTTTTCGTCCAAAAAAGAGGAAACAAGGGAGCCCTTCTCCTTTATCAAATCTCCCTCCCTCTATACAAAATACAACTTTGATGTGTAGTTTTGTTCATTAACACATTTGAGTTTTGTTAATTCTACCAGGAAAATGATATTTTCAATAATCTTCAGTAACACTTAAAGTTAAAGCAATGTGATGTTAGGTTTGTCTACCACATCTAAAATTTGAAAGGCTTCTCTCTGAAGTCCAGGAAAACTGACCTCTACAACATAAATCAGTGGATTCGTACTATCAGAGATATTAAAATATCTTAGGTATATTCTGGGTAACATTGTAATCAATGGTATCATGTCAACAGGTATTGGAACGAAACACTATATCCCATTGTAAAGCAGATTTGCCATATGACCTTGTGTCTGGTATGCCAATAAACCAAGCTTCCATCTTTTTCAGCATTCTTCATGTTGCTTATACATAAATCGCAAATTTCTACTTAAATATTTATGCGTCCTTAAAGATCTCTGTTAAGAACTTGGCTCAGTTCTTAGATTAGTTTGGAAAAAGCTAACATGAGGGCACTCGCCAGTTAAAAAGTACTAGAAGCTACAGGTTGTTATTATGCGGAGAAAGAATGAAATAATCTGCTCCCAAGATACTAGCTTAGAACATGAGATTCATCAACCTGATGATACTTGATAAAGAGAGGGGAGTTAGACTTTGTTGCAAAAGTTTTGGTGCTTCATTCTTTTCTATTGATCAGGTAGATCTTATTGAACTGGCTAGTACTAGTACCATGCAGGTAATAGGTAATTACAAATTTTCGAGTATTCTACTCTTTCCAGCATTTTTTATAAGTATCACTAGAGCAATAAGATTTCCTTCTGTGAATAGACCATCATTCTTGTGTTATTCCACTTTGCTGGGTT